TGAACAAAGAAAGAACCATGTTCATTTACATTCCTCTTTCTTGCTGCAAACACTGCTGTTTTGAGCACTTTAGTGGAAATGCTGGTGCAGTGTGTCATGACACAGCAAGGGCCAGCAGCGGCCGGCAGTCAGGGGCGGGGGTGCCCAGGGCCAGGGCAAGAGAAAACAGAAATAGTCCTCTGTGACACCAGGGGCTTCCTGGCAGTGTGAGTCACTGTCTGTTCCCCAAAGCCTGTTCTGAGTTTTCCCTGGGATTATGTGCTTTTCCCAGTAAATTCTGATGTGGCAGAGAGCTATGGCATGTACTGACCTCTAGCTTCTAGTCCTGGCCTCTAAGAGCGATTGAACTGGACACGTTCTGCCCATCAAACCTCTGCTCCAAGACAGCTCTGTGGTCTAGCTCAGGGCAATCTAATTTAAGCAATACATGTATTTGGAAACCATTGGGACTGCTAATTATCTTTCTGGAATAGTATGAAATTTCAAACAGATGAGATATGAGATCAGGCCCACTGCTAATGTAGGCACACACAAAACTGTACCGTTTCACTTTGCAGAAGAGGGAACTACTTTGTCTAGCTTGTTTCTTTGACCTTCAAAAGGTCAAAGCAAAATAAAGCATTAAAACACACACCAGAAGGGATCTTTTTTTTACTTTGAAAGATTTTAATTTTGCATTGTTTTGAGGATATGTGAAGTTTTTTATCTTAGTTGAAGATGGGTTTATTACTTCTTGTTCCATGGCACTACCAACATAGAACCCAAGAGTACAAAAAAGATCTTAATAATATTTACTTCCAATGTTTTGGGAATAAAAAATATCAGAAAACTGAGAGAAAATAGTTAAAGTAAGGTGGCAACATAGACTTGTTTCTTCTAAAGATAGCAAAGTTGGTGATTAAACTGTATGGAAAAGCTCAGTTTTGTATAGCAGGAGTTTCTTACCTGTTGTTGTTGATGTTCAAGTTTGGTACAAGCATTTGCTTTGAAGAAGATTTTTGAAGGAAAAATAGAGACTGATGACTAATCAAAGGGTGAGTGTGTTTACCAAGAACTTGTCAGACATCCTGGTTTACTCTTGCACTCAGTCACATTCAGGTGAGAGAATTTATCCAACCACCCTCTATTCCTGTATGCTTCCTACACATCCAGTCATCACACAGCTTTTACTGTCTGCTTAAGAGCAAGGAATTCAGCCTACCTCCAACACCTTCTTGATGAATGTCCAAACTTCTGGGCCTTTGCCTGGTGTTTTTCTTCACTCTCTTTCTCTATCTGATTTAAAATAAAAATTTTATAAAGGTGTCTTATACTTTGAATAATCTAATGAGTAAAAATTCCATCAAAACCAAAAATGATGTGCAATCAGCAAATTTTGTAATCCAAAGGATATTATGGGATGTAGTACCTGACACATATCCTGGAATCTCCAGGAGGTCCCTTCTTGCAATCCTAACTTTTGTTTCTAGCTCTTTCTTCCCTCTTCAATAAAAACAGGCTTTGGGCCAAGATTCTTTGGTCAGAACCAAGTTTTCCTCTCCTGTGCTCTGTCTTGGTGGCTGTTACCTCCAGTGCTGATTTTGTGCCTGTCTGTGTACATTCACATGTGCAGCCAAGCTCTGACATGCTGCAGTATGTGCACCATTCCTCAAGCATGCTGGGATCTTTCCCAGGAGAGCTGTATATCTGTAAAATGTTTTGAATGCTCTACTTTTTTTTCCATAAATCAGGTTGTAACATCATTATTTTTTGTGCCTCTCACACTGAACAAATTCCTTGCTATGATGTAGCAGGGATATTAACAGCCTGGTGCATGGCCAGAGGAGCATGCTAAAGCCAGAAAGGAGGGAGGAGGTGAGAAAAATTAGTGCTAGAACTAAGTGTGAGTGCCATCAGTTCAGTCACTGGGAGGATTAGGCCTAAGTCTGCAGTGTTAAACACATTGGCTTTAAACACCTTAGTAGCCCTACTGAAGTCATCAAGGGTTTTTACTGTGATTAACAGCTGGGTTGAGTCCTGGACTGTGTGAGCCTCAGTTTTATTTGTCTGAAAATTTAATTAACACTCTGGGACTTCATATCATCAACATGGTTATTATCATTTCTGTAGTTCATTGATCTGCAGTGAGGATTTTCTCTGAGGTCTGTCCCGCAGCTTCCACTGGCCATCAAACTTTGTTCCTAATATTTTTATTTTGTTGCACTTAAATACTAAACAACTGGGCAAAACTATTTTAAAAAAATCACAAAAAAACAAACCTTTAGTATTTAGGCTTATTTTAATATTAAAGCTTTTTTTTCCCCCCAGGCCTTTCAACATTGTATGTGTTGACTTGGTGTATTTTAGCAAACAACTTTGCCCATCCCAGTTCTACATGTTTCCCCTACACACACCATTACTCAATGCAGTTCCACAGGAGGATTGTGCCAAGTGGACAGTACACCTAACATAGGTGTACTGATAGGAAGGACTTAGCCATCAAACAAAAATAGCATTAAAAAATCCCAAGTAGACTTGAAAATCTGTATCTGGGAAAGTGGGAAAATTCAAATTCTTCACAGTAAATTTCACTAACCGTAACAAAATACGATGGCCAGTATGAAAAAAGGATTTTGGAGCTGCCTACTCCTGAGTATATTTTAGGTGCTGTTTTGCAGGGGGTGGCAGAGTGTCTGTGTAACTGATACTTTCTACAACTCCATTTCTATCTTTGGGAAGCTGCAACTGGCATTTTAGGACTCAGCATGTCAAAATGCTTCTGTCCCCCTGAACACCTCCTTGAGGGCAGGAGATGGGCACCACGGGGCACGGTGTTGGCACGGCACTGTGTGTGGCACGGTGGTGAGCGGGGAGGCGCGGCTGTGACACTCTCACGGGGCTGTCACGGGTGCTGCTTGGTGACGCTCGGTGGCTGGAGCGCACCGCGTGCTGCGGGATTGGCACCGGCACACGCTCTGCCTGGGACGTGAAAGGCTGTAAAAGAGAAGGTATTTCCCGGTGCCTACGAGAGGAAATCCATGCTCAAGCGCTGTTGTCGTCAAGCCTGGCGCAGAAGCCGCTGTGCTGGTGAATATTTGTGTAATGAATTGTGTGCAGACTGTGTCCCTGTCCTTCCCCACGGAGGAGGACCCAGCCAAGCTGAAGACACTGCTGTGTAAGTACTGACCCAACACTGGTGAGCAGAGGAAAGCTGGGTCAGGCAGAGCCTCTCCAAAGATCTGTGCAGTGGAGCCAAGGGGTGGGAGGGGAGCATCTCCAGCTCAGAAAGGGAGTTTTGGACCAAGCCTGGGCACCCAAAGAGAGAAATCTCATGGCCATGGCAGATGCTGTGCCTCATGCCCACCTGCACCACAGTAAGCATTAGATCATGCCGGAAATGAAAGATAAGATTCAATTAAAAGAGCAGGCACAGCAGAATTCCAGAAAAAATGGCTCAGCTGTTTAGGAGGACACATTGCAGATAAGGGTAATTCAAAATTCATAAGAACATTAATGGACAAAATCCATATTATGGTTTAAACCTGTTTTACTCACAGTACTATCTAGTGTATAAGGTAAGCGTGGTTTTGTGATAAAAGTCTTTTAACCTCTTTTGCCCCTTTTTTTTTTTTACAAAAAAATTGACATTTCTGTACTCTAATTTTTTTTTTCTGTTTGAACACATTATTTTTTATTACTTTTTTTGGTAGGCTTTCTTAAATTTATTCTTTTTGCTTTGTTTTCTGCTATGAATCTGAACATTTGCTTGATCTATTATAATCTATTATAAATGCTAAATAGGCTTCAAGCTGACCAAAAAACTACTGAGATCCAAAAAAGCTGCATCTATAGGGGATTCTATAGGGGATTCTAGGCAAATCAGGCCCCAGTTCTAGGGTCTTGGTGTATGCCCATGCTTGGCATTCTAAGACTTGTGAATGAAAGGTATATGCATTATTAAATGTATTCAAATACCCTTAATAATAAATACACATTTCCTTTACGAACACAAATTGTACCAAAGTATTGCTGTACATGTTCATTCTCATTACAATAGCAGAGGTGTACCTGGACAGCCCCTGTGAATGTACCGTGTGCATTTACTTACACACAAATCCTTAACTCTTGGGAAAAAATGTGGGGACTTTCAAGACATCACTTCACATTTGCAAAGTAAGTGTTCAGAGGAAGTTCTCTGAGCTGCAGGTATACAGTGATGTCCAAAACCAATGAGCCCTTTCAGAGGAATTTATTATTAGTGATTTCTCTTCCAGTCTAAAGCCTCTGAAGACACATTTTCAATTGTGAACTCCCCGCTGAACTCAAATGAAGTCACATTCTCAGCTTCAGAGGGGCTGTGGCATGTACTTACAGCTAAACATATGCTAACCTCCCCTTTTGGATCAGGATCACATTCTCCAGTATTCCACATGCATGAAAACATGGGGTTTCTTAACTCTTGTGCCTTCCAGTTAATGAAATATCACAGAGTAGGATAGGTTAATCCATATAATTTGCATGGAGTTCATTAAATCATTTTAACAAAATTTAACAGTTATATTTAGCTTGATACTCAGAAATGTTAACACCCTGCTTTTAATGTGACAGATTGGATTTGGAAAGCAATATAAAACGTGGGTTCCAGTGTGTAGAATTTTTTATTTCCACAACTTAAGGATGTTGTTAAGATCCATGTGCCTTTTTAAGATCTATTCTTCCATTTAAAATCCAACCATTGCTAGATTGCCAAAACCATTTATCTTTATTAGGTTTTAGTGCTCTGGAGAAGTTAAAACTGGGATCTTCTATTACCCTTTTTTTTCTTAAAGAAGTAGTTAGAAGTAAAGACTAGCTCTGTTTCTGTTGTTGGCATTGATATCTTTATTCGTAAAATTAGAGTGTTTCAAATAAGAGTAAGTTAACTTTTCAAAGAAAAAGCATATTTAATCTATGACCAAGACAGTTATTTGTATGTTTTTTCCCTCTTTTTTTTTTCTTCCTCCATCCACCTCCCCCAATAGGTGACGTGCATGCAGTGGTTGCAAGGGGACCATACGATGCTGGACATGATTGAAAAAAAGCGTTGCCTCTGCAAAGAGATCAAAGCTCGACAGAAATCAGAGAAAGGACTCTGCAAACAGGACAGCATGCCTATTTTGCCGAGTTGGAAAAAGAATGCTGGGACCAAGAAATACAGCCCTCCTCCTTATTCCAAACAACAGACTGTTTTCTGGGACACTGCAATTTGACAGGCTTGTGGAGGATGCCCTCTCCACTGTGTGGCACCAAGCACAGGTAGCCTGCTTTCTTTAAAAGGCAAAGGCTCTAACCTAAGACTTACCTGCAGGTGGTGAACTTCCTAGGAAAAAACACACCAGTACAGTGCTCACCTGTCAATCAAGAGAGATATTTAAGTTTCCAACTGGATTAAGGCATACATATTTATCCAGGATTTTTTTGGATCCAGAAGATATCAAAATGTAAATATTTGACCAATATATTGAAAACACCCAAACAAATACACTGTTTAAATATATAAATATATATATATAAATTCAAAAATTTATGGAGAATTTTACTATATAATGTTACTGTTACACTGTTTTATTACCTATTTTCTATGTTCTATTCTACTGTTCACCCCCGCCCCTGCCGCCACTGTTTTATTTCTCTGACCTGCCTAGATGTGGCCTCTGTACAAAAGCATGTGGTTGTACGTGTTGTTGGAGAGGACAATGTACAAAACAACTCGGTGCTAGGGCTGTAGAAGATAGCTAGAGTCGTACTTGTTAGGTGTCCTTAGCTGGGGGGGTGGGATGGACAAAGGAGAGAGTTCTGGTGGGAAACAGCAAACCTGCAAGCACTGAAAGTACAAGTGCTCAGTGCGGGTGCCCAAGTTGCATTTAAAATATTAATTGTTCTGCATCTGTTTTCCCATAACGGTAACCAGATTAATTGTCCTTGGTTCTATATGAACCATTTACTAAAATGATTTGGCCAAGGAACTAAATTTTCTGCAGCACGGCCTGCAACAGAATCTCTTCCTTGAAGACGTTCCATTGATTAGCAGAGACCATGGTTCACTGTGACTAAGCGTTGTGCAGCCCTTGGCAGAGAGAGCCGGTGGCTCAGCGGGGTGAGGCAGTGCCACTGCAGCCGCCGTCCCCGTCCACATTTACCGATGGTCCAGAAAATAAAGGCGACAAAATATGTTTACATGTTTATTATTTTTAAATCCAGCAGCACATCCTTACTTACGCCGTGTCAGATTTCCTCATGTTGTTTCTGTGGGCTGGATTTCAGATTTCAGACCCCTTGAAAGGCTGTTGGGAAATCCCTCTTGATTTCATGCCATTTTGAAGAAGAAGCCCACGTAACGCATTCTCCCGGCTATGCCGTTTCTTCTTCCTGGCTGCTTCTGGAATTGGCTTGCAATCCTGTATTATATTACATCCATTTTAACAGAATATTATGTCATGACCAAAGAATTATGACCTCCTGGTTTTAACGGGAGAAAAGGATGGCTTATACTGATTATGAGGGTGAAATCTGTGAGGTGAAATATCTTCCAAAAGGATCTGTTGAGGACGAGGGAGAATTGTTCTGTGGTGGACTAGGGGGGAAAAAAAGATCTATGGCATATATTTTGTGTATTAAAATTTCTATCTACGTGTCTGAAGTTTGGTAGTACAAAATTCCCTCTTTAAAACAATCATTTTAATGTTATATTCACCAAGAAGAAAAGGTGTGTTGTTTGAAACTTCTTGTTATATTGGCTTTTCTTTAAAATTATATTGACAGCATTGCCACAGCTGTAATTGCTGATCAAAAAAGACCAAAAATAATAAATTTTAGAAGGTTTTTGTAATCTATATTGCTAAAGTTTGAGTTTCAGTAATGTTTTATCAGTAGTAGTTTCTTTTCAGCCTCTGAAATAAAGTTTTTAAATATTTTATAACTAATTAACTGATGTATATTTTGATGTCCAAACTGAGATTTCTGTAAAAGATGAAGTGTGTGTTTATATGTGTGTATGTATATTAGCATTACTGTATATGTATATATGCATATGTGTACACACATATACATGTATATATGCATGTATCTATATATACCCATAGATGTGTGCATACATATATCTGCATACATTAAATATTGATGTGTTAGGAATATACAAAGGCTGGAATAGGTACAGAGTTGAAATGCAGATTTGAAGACCCCCTCCCAGCCAAAATGACAGAAGACATGAAAAATCCCGGAGGCTGTGAGGGAATCTTTGAACACGTTGCATCCAAAAGACACCAACTGTTTATTCTGCTTATTCTCTCTTTTTTAAAGAAAGAAAATGGCAGAAGAAAAACTGCAGAGATCTCGGAAAGTTCCAGAATCTGCTGGAAAGAAGACGACTTCTTGGTCATGAGAAATCTGTTGAGCTAACAGGGTTCATTATTCAGCAAGTGTTCATGGTTTGTCTTCCTTGTAATGTGGCAGGAGAAGAATTTCCCATATCCATATGTGAAATACTTAGCTCAGCCCTTTTCCCCAGCTGCACAAAGTCACTGGTGACAAAACGCAAGCAGGCGTTCAGTCAGCTCTGCCAGTCCTTGTCCTCGCTGGTGTCCTCCTGGAGCAGCTCCTTTAAAGGCGCGCTGCCGGAGCATCGCTGGCAGTGCAGACCCTGGGCACACCTGCCAGGGGAAGGCAGTGTCAGTGTGAACGGTTCTGTCCTTGCTAGTGTTTGTTCATATCGTGTCCTTTCCATATCGAGATGTAATAGGAATAATGATCAGGGAATTGAAGCGTTCTTGTCCTAGAGCAGAGTTGCTTGTACACTTAGCCCACTGCAAACTCCTTGTTTTGCTTTTATTGCTCAACACTGTTTATGTTGTCCTTCCTAAATAACTGCCCACGTGCTTCCAGACCTCCATTGTATCCCATGGAAACAATGGCTTTTTTTTTAAAGTGCGACAACATGAAAAAGTAAAACATAACTTAGCACTTACCTTCAAAGCACTTTAGAAATGTGAAGTAAACCTCATGCTTGCAAGAGCCGTTTTACTGAAGAGGGACGTGAGGCTCAGGCAGAACAGTTTCCAAAGGTCAGGGACAGAGCCAGAGCAGGACACAGCCACTGCCCTGTCCCGTGACTGCTGGCCCACCCCATGGCTCGAGTAAAAGGCACATCGTCCTGCCGAGAGCTGCCATCACAATGCTGTCACACATCTCCTACATCACCTCTTGTCTCAGCAGCTTCTGTGTCACAGGGTGAATGACAGTGCTTGGTTACACACGGTCATTAAAGCTGTAGTCTGTATAAATATGCAATCTGTATATACATACAGATCACATATATACACACACTTATGGAGACTGTATATATGAAATTGTTTGGTATGCACTTATTTTGCTTTAAACTCCTGAAGTTAAACATTATAGTGTAGCAATTTGTGTAAGGTGCACTGTGATTTCAAGAAAGCACAGTAAAGTCACAGGTCTTGTTATTCTTGCACTAAAAATGTGTTTACGTATATTAGCCAATGTATGTCTACTTTATCGCTCCTTTTGACAAATTAAAGCAAATGGTATAAAATAGTATGGGGTTTTTTGGTTTGGGTTGTTTATTTTTAAGTGGACAATGGCACTATGTTTTTAAATGACAGGGTTTTTAAATAAAATGAAATCATTCTGTGTTCATTCCAATGTAATACATTTACCAATATCTTGAAACTGAATGTCATGTTGCTTTTTTTTATATTTCATTAGAAATTGTCAGGTATGTGCCTGAGATTGTGTAGGACTAAGGAGTAGCTAGAGGCTAACTGTAATCATATATTATTAGCCGTTTCTATATACACAGTATAAATACATATTAATTTTCTTTTCATTTTTGTACTTGATTTTTTTAGGTAAGATGTAATTAAATGTACTTTGATACTTCTGAAGTAATAAGATGTTGTTTGAAGATCAATTCTGCTTTCTTTAGTGCATTGACAATATTTTACAATAATTTAGTGCTTATTTATTTGTGCTCCGGTGTAATTATAATAAAAAGCAATAGTTTAAAATACTTGGCTGTTCATTTTTATTTGATAGTTTAAGTTTAGAGACAAGTTATTCACTGGGGAATAGCCAGAGATTCCTGGGAAGAAAAGTCAAGTCATAGATGCATATTTATAGCATTCCCTAGGCACATTTTTAATCGTACCATTTGTTGGAGGAAATGAATTAATTGCTTTAAGAGGTTAGTATTTGCAAGTCATGCCTCATTGCATCTAATGCCATGAGTGCCATCCTCAACTAAATCCTTAGGATAAGATTTCTCTGAAGAGCAGATAAATTTTTGTCTAAGCACCTTTCACAGTTTGGAATGGCAGATGCTCACTTCAAAGACACTCCCTTCAAAGATCTCCATTTGCAGAATATCCCCAAATGTGAGAGGGACCTATCACACTCTCCATAAAGCTCTAAAAAATCTGCTCAAAAGTAAGCATAATCTTCCTGTTTCCAGACAAAATCTTTAGTTCCATTAGGATGTAAAACCCAGCACTCACAGAGGAATTCCACAACTTTTTTAAGAAGACATCCCTCCTAATATTTTTAAGAAGGCATTTTGCAATTTAAAAAGGTTTCCAAGACCAAGTAAGCAAGTAGTTAATAAGCCAGTAAGAAACAGTAAAGCTCTTGCCGTGGCACTGAGACCAAATTTCTCACCTTCCATGAAAAAATGCTGCGTCTAATGTGCAAAAAAAGTCTGTAGAAATCTGCATGCAGGAGTGCATGGGGGCAGGGGGAAGCTTTTGGTTGTCTTAGCAGGATCTGTTCTGGGACATATTGCAAATGATCCAGAAGGTGCTTTCCAAGTGCTTCCCTACCCCAGGAGTCACCTGCTTTCCCCAAGACACAGCCTCTCTCCTGAGCTGCAATTCCATTGACGGGCCCATAGGACAAAGAACTTTGTCCTACAGGACAAAGAGCTTTGTTACCCATTCATGCTCCTCTTCCTCTCCCCAGCCCCTGACACAGATGTTCAGAGTGACCCATCCTCTGAAGCACTCCAACATTTTCTCACTGGCTCTATGTTTTGTATGAAGACCCCATATGGATGACTAGAAAGTAACACTGTTTTACAGGGATTTCTCCAGCCCTAAAAGAGGAAAAAATAATTTGCCCATTTGTCAGATTCATGTCTGTGCTCTTTGGCAGTGTGGTTCACAAAGTCCTGTATCCTAGCTCATTTCTAAGGGCTTGCAATGGTGACTTCCAACATTCACCTTACCCAGCATGACATGCATGACCACTTCCGACCTGACCACAGCAGCACCTGAACAGAGAAGGAATTAAATGGAAGCATTGCCAAATGCTTCAGGGAGCATAAATATGGGGCAAAATCAGACATTTTCCTATTTGAAATATGTGCATTCTCTTTCTTTGCCAGCGCAGAAACACTTTTTATATACCCCTGTTTTTTAAACAGAAGAGGTTTAAATTAAAAGGAGACAAGACCATAAAAAGCAACAGTTGACTTTTACACTTGTATTTTCTCTAAGTTTATTTAGAAGTGGAAAGGTGCCTGCAGTGCTCTGTCTTGGGTCTCTGCTCCTTTTGCATTTTGAAAGCCATCACAATACCGCTGGCTGGAGTTGTTGCTGTTTGTCCCCTGCAGTCACTCGGAGTGACCTCAGCTGGTGCCAGAGTGGCTGAGAAGCAATTAAAGCACAGAGGGGCTTGTCTTGCTGGGGAACAAGTAACCTGCCCTGGGCACAGCAGGGAAGTCAAGCAGCCCTTAGAGGGAAGATGGGCCAACATCTCTCAGATCTATGGCCAGCACTCACAGATCTGGCAAGGGAACTGCAGGAAACCAAATAAAATTTACAAAACCAGAAGACAACTGAAAAGAAACACTGCTCAAAGGCAAGACTGAACATATTTCGCATTTATTTTCTAAACCTGCCAACATCTCTTTTATGGTGCTTTTTTTTTCCCTTTAAAACAAGGTTACACATCTGTCACCTTTTAAATGATTTTTGGCACCAGGATGGTTGGTGGTTTCAGTGTTTTCCCCACCTGTGGTATATTTTCATCTTCTTTTGTCTCCTCCTCTCTTTCTGTCTCAATCCTTTCTTTCATGGTGTGCTTTGGGAAATATATTTGTAGATACAAGAGTTCCTGTCATTTTTTTTTTCCCCATTAATGTTCTCTACCTCCCCTCTTCTAAGCCAGCTCTGTGCTCTCTTAACCCTCATGAAAACATACAAGGAGAGCAGGAGGATGAACCACCAATGATTTTATTTTAGAAGGTAGCATTAATCAACGCTGTTCTTGGTTTATACATAGCAAGTTTTACAGAGGGCTGGGGAAAGAGGAATGTGGTGGGAAACACTGAGCTTCAGCCTCGGTCATGAGGGTGTCCTGGGGCAGCAAGGCCAGTCACAGCGACCCTGCAGGGAGCCAGGCAGGGTCCCTTTCCCTCGCACAAGTGACACCCACCAGGAGGAGCCTCCAGTGGCCGGTTCTAGGGGATCATGGCAGCTTGCCGTGTTCGGGAAGCAGGGAAAGCTGCTCGAGTGTCAGCCCGGGGGGAGAGCGCAGCCCGCACTTCCTCAGCTCCCCATTGAATCCCTCGGTCCTGCTCTCCATGACCTTATACTTTCTTTGGACGTTAACACCTCCGCAAAGTGGGTGTTAAATGGTGTTGTTAGTGTCTGTAGCGTGGTTTTATATCCACTTGAGAAGTGTAAATGATTCTACAAGGTGTAGGGCAATGGAAAATCAGCTTTCCCCAGGCTCCAGCTGGCTGGGGAAATTCAAATTAACTCCTGTGGAATCCAACTCCTACCAAAGAGCTCTATTCTTTCCCAAGTTCTTCAGGGCTTTTTTACTGTTCTTGTAAACACAACAACTGAATGGCTTGTGTGTTTATTTATTAAGTTCAAAGAGGCTAGGATGTCCTTGGCCAAGCAGGCAATGACATTCAATTTCTGCCTGGTTTTTACACTCATTTGAGAATTTTGTCTCAGTTTCTGCTGAACTATGCGGCCCATCCAAGAAGCCCACACCTTCTTTCCCTGGCTCTTCCTCTGTGTGTGGGATGTGGTGGCACATGTTGTAGATGGAATCAGCTGACAGGATAAGTTACTCCCTGGGGTCTGTGTTTCATGGACTAGGCACTACCTGAGAGTGTTCCTTTATTCTCTGAACTGTGCCGCTTGCAATTTCCACACTCACCATGGGTAAGACTTCTCCCCCAGGCTTTGGCCATCCCTGGCCATGGTGACAGAACATCTGGCCTAGCTTCCTAAAAGGCATCTAATTTGGTGGTACTTCCAAATAAGAGGATAAATTCTGAAACTAACGAGGATCCAACCTATTCAGGGTACACAAGGTTGCAAGCAATGCCATCAGCCTCAATAAAAAACAGATTTCTACTCCTTGTGCAGCAGCAGCCAGCAGGGGAAAACCTGCAGTACTGCACACAGGGACAAAGGATTAAAAATCAGCACCTGAAAGGGTCATTTAAGCTCACCTGAGCCACTCAATGCCCTTTGCAGTGCACCTGGCAACACTCCCTGGGGTTTGCAGACCTACAGAAAGGCCTTTGAGGGAAAACCCAGCCAGGCTTGTCATCGGGGCAGCCCTGGCACTGCCCACCCCTGTGGGTGTGCCTTCAGGTGTGACCAGGACATTGCTGCGAGCCCTTGCAAACAGGGTGCTGGAATGATCCTGCCAGCATTTGTGCCTGGGATTTACTGCTGTGGACTGACAGGAGCAGTGAATTTGACCAGTTATCATGAGTTTTTCCTTGTACTTTGGCTGCTGTTTCATTTATCCTGGGAAGCTCCTCTCTGTTTCATCACTTATGTCTATTTTTGTAGACACACACAGAAGTACAAATCTCCAGTGCACTGTCTGAATTAATACTCTGAATCAATGGCTGAAAGAAATGCTGAAAGCCCTTCATAATAGCAGGGTTTGAAATGAACTAAGTAACATGTCTGATTCTCATTTTTTTTTTTTATTTTTGCCAAAATTTCATATTCTTTTATTTTCCATCTGTTTCAGAAATTCAAGCACAAATAAATTTCCAGTTCTGACAAGTTTTAATCCAATAGAAAAGCAAATTTGAGTTCATACTTTGTTTGCTTCCATAAGAAAGTTTTCTTACTGCCTATTTAATTTCCCCAGAGATACTA